TATATTTTATCTTTTTTTTTTTTTTTAATTTTTATGTATTTGTGGCACTAAAGAGATAAAAAAAATTAACAACTGGAAAGTTTAATTTAAGAGCTATTGTTTGCTAAGTTATTGGACAAAATAATGTGATTTTTATAACCTTCAAGATGGCTTAATAAAGATGAAGATCTTCAAGAACAACATATTCTTTCTCAAATAATTGGCAAGATAGAATGTATTTAGTATCATGGCCTTAGAAGAGACTTTTGATTTTTAAAAAATTTATTAGAAGTAAAAACAACTTTTAATGGTATTGCAAATGTTTTATTTGAAAGAAGTTATGAAAAATTTAATAATGATCAAACATTAAAGTGGTTTTCATGCCTTGAATTAATTATTATTAATAGCTTAAAATACCAATCAAGTATCTTTAAAAGAAAAAAATATAAAAATATATATCAAATACAATTTGGTGCATCTTAGACTTTCTCAAAATGTGATCACGACTTCTTGTTGAATTTGTTTCTAAAAGAGGGGATAATGTCACAAATATATAGATTTACTCTAATAATTATCTAAATAATATGAATAGATAGAATTAAATTAAAGTAGATAAATTTGATAACACCTTATAAAGAAGCTTCTGAGAAGCTTTATAAGTGTAACTTTGACTTTACATGTGTTTTTAGTAAATTAGTAGGTTAAATACTTGGCCAAAAAGTTAATCATGTGTTGCATGTATTGATAGCCTGTGGTATAAGCTAATTATGTGGCACATATATAGAAAACTTGTCTTGTAAGTTAAAACAAGTATCTTGCAAATTGAACATGTATCGAAGGTCTTATAGAAAATTACTACATAGCTCTTAATTAAATAGTATATATAAAGGCAAGAGTGAAGCCTTTTTCATTCTTATCAATAACTTTCTAGTTCATAGTCTTGTTTCAAGTCTTTCTAATTTTCTTGTCTTTGGTAATAGTCATTCCAATTTCAATACTATATTAATTTTGGGTGAACATCTATTCTTTCTAGGTGATACAAGAGTGTATTGAGTTTTTATTATATAAAATTCATGTTCTTGATAAATAGTATATAAAAAATTAAGAGTAATGCCTTCTTCACTCTTATCAATACTTTTCTTACTTCTAATCTAGTTTTAAGAATCTCTAATTTTCTTGTCTTTTGAAAATAGCCATTTAGTTTCTTTCTAAATATGCATTTTATTTTTATTTTTCATTTCTTTTTTGAGAAACATCTCACTTATTTATTTGCATTCATTAATTTTTTGTCTTTGATACATACTTGCCACTACAATCTATGGCCTTTGTCAAATAAGTTGAGAATAAGTGAAACTTGTCTCTTTAAATGAAATACGGATAAAATAACCATATAGATTAAAAAAATCAGTAATATGAATTCTTAATGTTAATACTTAATTTGTAAAAAGTATTATTCAAAATAGATACTAAATTAGAAAGTAAAGACTTTAAAATCAAAGATTTATATACATTAAATTTTATAGGATGCTACAATAAAGAAAGTAAGAAATTTTTTAGAAAAAAAAATAAAAATGAATCTAAGTATAAGATTGTAATAAAATATATCTTTTTTAATAAATTAATAAAAAAATATAAATAAAAATAAAAATAAAAACTAAAACTAAAACCTCATTTGAATTGAAAAGAGAATGAAAGAAACAACAACCAAATTCTACTTGACTTGAAAAAATAAATCATTATGGAAACAAACTTATGCCTCTTTTAGTATTTTGGCCTCGTTGCTAAAGCATTTAGATGAATCTGGCCTTTACGTGTTTTAACAATACATTTTAAAGAATCATTTTGTTTTTTTTATAAATATGCTTTTGGAATTTTTAATATTTAATATTTAACATCCTTTTTTAAACCATATCAAAACTAATTAATAAGAATCTTATTATTGTAATCATTGTTGCAAATAATTTTTTCAAATTTGCAGCACAAATAGCAACTAAGTAGGATGCTTTTTGCAAAGACTTAAATTTTATTTTTGTTCGTTTTTTTAATTATATTTTCTAAATATGGCTATAAATACTTCCAAAAATAAGATAAGATTATACAAAAATGATAAATTTCTTTTTGTTAAAGATACAACTAAAAAAGAATATCTATAGATTGAAGTGTATTTATAAACTATACTTAAGTGATTGCTTTAGAATATCAAGAATGATGTAATCTTAAGAAGAGTACAACTTATTATAAAAGTCTTAGAAATTTCAATCTTCTTCTATTCAACCTCTAGCATAGTAATCTTTAATTCTTTTGTAATTGTAAAGATAAGACATCTTATATTAGCATAAGCATAATACTTTAATAACTGAGATTATTAATATATTAGATGTTTGTCCAAAGAATATTTAAAAACTTGTAAAAATCTACAATAGTTGCAAATATATTTTCACATCTATTAAGTGTAGCATTTATAGTTTTATTTTGTTCTATCTCAAGAACATACAACAATAACAAACTTATAAATCAAATTATAAAGATATTCTATAATTTCTATTATCAATTGAAAATTTCAACACAAAAAAATTAATTTATTTATTCTAAAAAAAGATCAATGTTAAAAAATTAATAATATAAAAGTAGATAATTTTCAATTTTTAAAGAATAGAATAATTCATTGACTTCTTAAATAAAACAAGTATAATAAGTTATAGGTTGCTTCTAACAAACTTTTAAAAAGTAAGAAATTTATGGAATAAGTTTTAGTAGCCACATGGCTTATTTATAAAGTCTAAATATCTAATTTGCATCAAAAAAACTTTCTTGAAGCTTCTGAAAAAAGAAATAACAAATATTTTTTTTATCTATGGAGAAAGAATTAAGAATTCTTTGTCCATAGATAGAATTTCTTATGAAATTTTAGTTAGAACATAAGAAATTCATAAGAAATTTAATCAACACACATAGAGAACATAGGCCAATAAACTGTGTTCTTTTTTCTTTTTTTTCTTTTTTTTTTTTTTTTTTTTTCTCTTTTTATCTCCTCTGGTTTCTATTCATGTATTTACTTATATAATTGATACACATCTACATCATACCTTTATGCATCCACACACATATAACCTTGTTGGTTTACTCGGAAATTCATAACTATAGACCATAACTTTAATATTTTAACTTTTTAATCTTTTGGAATTTGTTGGTGAATTTTATGATACGGAATCTTCTGAAACGGTTGAAAAGTTATGTATACACGACATTACAATTGAAGCAATACTAAAATCACACAATTTAAAATCTAATTTAAAAAATGATACTTTAGTGGAAATTTAACTAAAGGCATATAAATATTGTTGCTTTCATATGTGGCTGTGTGAAAAAAATATATAAATATATAAAGTCGCAATGTAATATTTCTAATGTAATATACTACATAATTTAGAACATCAAACTCACATCACACATGAAACCTAACATTTCAGTAAACACATTAGATTAAACAAATTAATTGTCAAGAAATGAACATAAGCCACATGAAAGAATATTGCTATTTGTGGACATAGTCTGACAAAGCCACGAAATAATTTGATTGCCCATGCAGCAAAATTCGGCGCTGTGTGAAAAGGATTTCGAACACTGTCCGCTTGGACTTGAGGAGGCGGCTGAGTAGGTATAACATCATCCATCTATCATATCATCCAACACATTCATCCTTTCTTCATGTGGCTGTTGACCAAGCTTGGGTGTAATATTTGAATTACTGGCCCACATATTCGACCAGAAAAGAAAAAGGCAAGCATTAAAATTAAAAAAAGAAAAAAGAAAAAGAAAAGAAAGGCTGAGTGCCAATTACCAAGAGTAAGTGGAGTGGAGAGATGGGGGTTACTGGCAGACTGGGTCATGGATGGCCTTCAAACACTCAAGCTAATATTAAACTTTTGGATGAATGTATGATTGTATGGATGACAAATACCTGGGGATGGTGGTGGTGGTGGAGCCTCTAAATGAGAGGTAATTGATGCAAGTTCCAAAGAGGAAAGCATGGTGAGGTTTGGTGAATTAGGCTGCTCCTCTCACTCCATTAAAGATGAATGTTGTTCATGTAATGGCTTTCCAAATTGAAGAGCTCTGTTTGTTGTCCAATCCACTCCTTTCTCCTCTCCCTCACTGAGAATAAATGCCAGTCTCTAGTTGCTAACAAAGTTCTTTGGAGGGCTGCAGTGGCCACTGTATGTTAGATGCAATCTGTCTATTGGTTACAAAGGCCAACATATAACTGGCTCCATAGGCTAAGCAGGAAAAGCAACAAGATGGTGACTACCTTCTATAATTTTCTTAACCACCACTTAGGCCTTCAATGCAGAATAAAATGGAACAGCACACACATACACACACACACATGTGTATGTATATATATATATATATATATATATATATGAATCAAGGGATGCAATTTAAAAGAAGTGCATGAAGAAGGAATACTTAATAACCCACCAATTGATTATATCAATATTCTTATTCAATGACATGGGCATCACATGACCATACAAGGAGCTTAGTGGAATGACAAAGGGATCATTCCTAGCAGCTCATGCCACCATCCTCCCAGAATTGGAACCAATACCCCCATCCAAAGTGAATTCTGCACATAAAATCATGAAGTTTGACTGGTTACATGAGTTACTTGCAATGGAGGAGGACAGGAATTCAAGTGGTGATAGAAGACACGAGCATCTTGAGCTTATCTAGAAGGAGACTTTTCAACACTAGAAAACCCAGTTCCAAGCAGTAGTTTTGACCATTCAACAGAGATGATACTCCATGCCTGCTAGGGACAAATTTACTGAAGAATGTAATTTTAGGGGGGGGGGATGTTGCTAAGTCTGGCTCCAACTGTTCATGGGATATCTGGTGGAATTTACACACTAAATGCTCATTAGTGTGGGAATTGGATTGCTTTGAGAGTGAAGAAAGGTGAGACTCAGCAGGATAATAACTCCATGCTTTGGCATGCTTGGTAGCAATCAGTCCTTGAGCTCAGAGGGGCTTGGATTTTCAATGTGTTGACATCATCAAGTCTGTCTTATCAAGCCTGGGGATTAGAAGCTTCATTGATTGAGGGGGGAGTGAGTGATTGAGAGAGAAAAGAGTGCATTATTTCAGTTGAAGGCTCGTTTTGTTTTTGTTTCTGTCTTGTTTATTGACTTGGATTTGTATCGGGTACTGCCGGGGTTTCTGTGAAGGTGAGAATTCTGGAGCTGTGGCGGCAATCATGCTGTTCCCTCCATCGCTGAAGTGAAAAAGATGAGCTACGTTTACAATGCGCGATAGTGGGCCCAATAGGTCTTCACTCTCGTCGACGGAATCTTGTGGATCATTTCCGGTGCTTCAGCTCCATTACAAAACCAAAGTGGCTGCCTAGAGCTCAAAGGGAACTGGTGAGGCAAGTCTTTCAGCTGCTGTGGGTCCAATCGCTGACGCTCAGTGGTAGTTATAGTTTTTTCCATTCGTCAAGAGTGCACCTCATTGTTGTTGCATCTTCGGTGGGCTGCTCGCTGAGATACTTCCGTGTTTGTCCGTAGCTCAGAGTTGATAAGCAACTTGCATTCGCTTTTCTAAAAAACTTCATCGTTTGCACTGAAGGGAGTTCGCAATCACAGTTTCGAATTCAATGTGGAAACTGTAGTAAATTGCAAGTTCGGGTCGCTACAGTTCCTAACATTGCCAACACCGCTCGAGTCCGTGGGTTGATTGGGAGCCTTGTGCAAGGGGCAGCGTAGCACATAGCTCAGAATATCGTCTGGTGCTGCTGCTGCATGAATTAGGTGCAAGGGTTCAATCAAGCTGCAAGTATTGGAGGAGCATCCTCTGACGTTTTTCTTGTAAATTTCGGAGGTTCTCAAAAGCACGGAAGATGAAGCTGATATCTCTGCTGATGTTTCTGACTTTGCTTGCATGCGAATGCAATGCGCACCGCGAGCGTCCTCCTCCTGTCACTCCGTCGCCGCCAGCTTCAGGTAGTATATCTATCCTTGGCTCTCATCTAGTTCTTCATGCACATGATCGATTCCATCCGAGAACTAGTTGCACAACTACAAGCTGTATTGGACTTTGTAGAATGGCATGGCAGCTACCGCGTGAATACCCACTAAAATCCATACCTAGAAAGCTTGAATGCAATAGTGCTGAATGCATAGAGAATCGTCACTAGATCCCCATCTTTCCATGACATTCACGACACGCATGCGATGAAATTCACTTGCACATGCACACATGCTCTCGAAAGCAGATGAACTCTCGACTCAAAGTGCCTTCTTTGGATGACAAACCTCTCGGCGAAGAGTGCACAAACACGGCAGCAGTCCCCACCACGAAATTCAGTATTTGTTGAGAAGACATACTGGGGGTTGGTGATTACTGATGCTTGAGTTTTCTACTTACAACTTGCCTCCACAAATGCAGGTGATGGATACGCACCTCAGTCTCGCACGATAGGCATCAATTACGGCACCCTGGGCGACAACCTCCCAACCCCCTCCGCAGCAGTCGCAGCAATCAAGTCCATGAAAATAGGTCGTGTCAAGATCTTCAATCCCAATGCAGGCATCCTAGCTGCTCTAGCAAACAGCGGCCTCGAAGCGGTGGTCGCCATTCCTAATGACCAGATCGGAGGAATTGGCACGAACGCTGCCATGGCCGAAGCTTGGATAGCCCAGAACGTTGGCGCCTACTACCCTGCCACGAACATCGTCACCATACTCGTCGGAAATGAAGTCTTCTCGGACGGATCACTTCCCTGGACACAGCTCGTCCCCGCGATGCAAAATCTCCACAACTCTCTGTCTGCACGAGGATGGTCTGATAAGATTAAGGTCTCCACCGCGGTCGCAGCTGACGTCCTGTCCAGTTCCTACCCTCCATCGACGGGCTCATTCCGCCCAGACATCGCTGTGCCCGTCATTCTTCCTTTGCTCAAATTCCTCTCCACAACACGATCATACTTCTTCGTGAACTTGTATCCCTTTCTGTCCTACGCCTCCAGTGGGGGGTTAATCAGCTTAAACTATGCTCAATTCGGGTCCAATGCAGACACAGTTATGGATGGCACGTTCACATACACCAACCTGTTAGATGCACAGTTGGATGCGATAATCTATGCCACTGAAAAACTGGGGTTTGGTGACGTGCGCGTCGCGGTTGGAGAGACCGGGTGGCCGACCAATGCCGACTCAACGCAGGCCGGCGCTAGCATCCAAAATGCGGCCAACTACAATCGGAGGCTCGTGAGGAAAATACTGGCCACTAGCAATTTCGGTACCCCCAAGCGTCCTGATGTATTCATTCCCACGTTCATTTTCGCGCTGTTTAACGAGAATCAGAAGCCCGGGCCAGAGTCGGAGCGAAACTGGGGGCTCCTGTACCCGAGCTTGAGGCCAGTGTATGACATCGACCTAACAGGGCAGATGGTTGACAGCCAGTACGCCCCCATTGCGCCATAGCTCCGAATCGATGTCGAGTTTTTTCTGCAAGCGGCATGGAAATTTATGAGAACCCCGTGTCAAGCATGCGGCATTGGAAACCCACACGCTCCTCGCAGGATCTGTCCCGCTATTGCTTCTCCTCCCACCTGGTGAAGTTTCTATCGCCAAGTGGTTGCTTGCGTGGCCCAGGGATGCGCCCTACGCGCAGCGCCCCCCTTCTCGAAGAACAAAGGCGGGGCATCCAGAAGAATTCCCTTGCATCCTCTTCAAACTTGCTTCCGTTCAGTTTCTTTCCGCTTCGTGTAGGATCCAGGTCGAACAATCTCTAGCTCCAGTTAGGCAGTCAAGGGTCCTGATCCCAACCAGCAGCTGGTTGTGCAATGCTAACTCGAGCCGTCCCATATGGGGAGCTTCCTGAGCACCAGTCCAACACAGTCCTCTCCCGCTTTTGCTTTTGCCTCATACGGCAATTCAGGAGAAATCAAACTGTGGTGATTCAACATACCTCATTGTGTCCGTTCCATGGATGATCGACATAACCCCTTTAAGCATTCCGATCACCCTCGATGTGTGCAGCCCTTGTAGTCATAAACCAATTGTAGATTCTCATGGTCACTCGGTGGGTGTGGTACATACAACTCAACATAACATATACCTCCGCTTCTATTCCTACACACTCTGAGCATCTTCCACCCACATAACATTCCTCTACAATTACAGGCCTTCGGCACGTAAAGAGGACTGGCAGTTGTCCGATTCCGATGTCTCTCGGGAGGTGGAAGAAAGGCTTTGCTGAGACTTCACCGTTCCTGTGGCTCTGCCTTCTGATGTTACCCATTGATAGCGTCGGTAGCTATGCAGGCGGTGCAACGACCTCCCAGAAGACGCTGTGGACAAAATCATGCTGATGAAGAAGTGCGGCAGATTAACCCCCGCGTCTGGAAAACCCACGCGGAGACAAGAGTGGCTTAAAATGAGGCACAAGCCGAACAGCACAACCCCCCGACCTTGGAATCTCCGAAGAGCAGCAAGAAAAGAAGAAGAAGAAGAAGCCTTCATCAATTGTTCATAAACTAGGTGGAAGTTGCAGAAACTTGTGCTCTTCGTAGGGAAATGCTGTTTCTAAGACTTCACATTATTTCTTACTTTGGAATACTTATTATGATTTTTCTTTACAGGAGGAACAGTGTACCTATAACACACTTAAAATTGTAAGATCAAGGATCATGTAGAAAAGAAAACTTGATTTTAAAAATCTTTTAACATATTAAACAATTGAAATCATCTTATATGCCTTTGCACATAATCAATATAACATTTATATAGTATTTAAAATTCAAATTATATGACGATTTGCAAAAATAGCATTAGACCAAAGAAGCAAAATAACAACAAAAATTCCAAATGATAAATACAATAAAAAATTAATTAATTCTAGGTGGTAAAATTAGAAATATGATAGAAAATTTGATTTAATATCTAGTAGTGGATTTCAAGTTATACTTTAATTCTTAATTCTTAGTTATGTCATTGGAATCAAAATGTTATCATATAAATTTGTCAATATTATTTAAGAAAAAAAATTAATTAGCATATAAATATCTATTCTAATATTTATTATTTTATGGATTTTTTTTTAAAGATTTATCCATAAGAAAATTATATATATATATATATATATATATATATATATGACTTTATATAATTAAATATAAGTTATTGATTGTAAAATTAAAATCTTATTTCAATCATATTGAATAATGTTAAAAATAAATAAATATTTTTAAATATATATTTTAATTTAAAATTTAATATATTTAATTATAATATAATTATAAAGATGGAAAATATAATATAAAAAGAATCATTATTCTTCACTAATTGATATAAAGATTTTATCATCTTAATGTCATGGACATACATATTTACTTTAATAATTATCTATATGATTAAATAGAAGTAGATAAAAGTAAATTAATTTCATAATATCTTCTAAAGAAGCTCCTTAAAAGCTTTATAGACACTGCTTTGATTTTACGCATGTTTATAGTTAATTTGTAGATTAAAAACTTGGTCATCAAGTTAGCCAAATGTCACATATGTTGATAGCTTGTAGAACAAGCTAATTATATCGAGCACATATAGATAACTTGCCTTGCAAGATAAGACATTTGTTTAGCAAAGTCAACACATGTTGGAGGTCCTATAGAACATTATTATGTAGCTCCTAATTAGAGAGTATATAATGAGGAAAGAGTGAAGCCTTCTTCACTCTTGTAAATGTCTTTTAAGTCCTTAGTCTTTTTTCAAGACTTTTTACTCTTCTTGGCTTCAACAATATCTATTCTAGTTCAATATATTCCATCTTTGAGTAACTTTTTAATCTTTTTGAGTGATACAAGAGTGTATTGAGTTTTTTTTCTTTGAGATTCATGTCCTTGACAATTTGATATGAGTGAAAATTTATTATTCTTGTTTTGTTTTAGAAGTAAGTGAATTATTTCACTTATATTGTTATATTTTAAAGGTTTTTCATTGCATTTTTACTCACCTTCTATATCTAGGTACCTAATGCATTTTCAAGCAAGAATACATATAATATGATAATGATTGCCAAAGAAAAAAATGTGTCAAAAAATAAGTTTTTTTTTAACTATAATAGAGATTGTGCAACTAGAATCATATACAACACTTCATAAAGATCTAATTCTATGTTCAAGTCCTTTATCTTTATTTACAAGAAATGTGTGTTTAGAACCTAAAAATAATAAAGTCTTTGCCATATTAGATTCAAAAGCATCAATATGTTTTATAAGTAGAGATTTTGTTAAAAAAAATAAGAGATATTATTAGTCAAGAAAATTAAATATGTACATATAAAAGTTATAAATGTATCTTTGCTATCGTTTGGAGATACTATCCATGAGATTGTTTATTTACATATAGCAATTAATGATCATAATAATATAATAATATCTAATATAATAAAATCTCTCTTTAGTCGAATTCTTTTAGGATTATCATGATATAAAAAATATAATCCTTAAATAGATTAGATTTTTTATAATCTTAATTATTTTTTATAGTTTAATTCAAAATTTTATTAGTCAAGTAAAAATATACAAGTCTAATATATCTAAATCCTTATTGGTAGTTACAAGAACTATAGTGCATACAATAAAAGAAATATCATCTTTTATTATATATGCCATACATATTTTTGATGGTAGAAAGATGTCAAGTAGTATTCCTAGCCAAAATCAAGATTTCTATGACATTTTTGAAAAAAAGAATGCAAATATTTTTCTAGACCATTGACCTTATGATTGTTTAATTGATTTATAAGAAAAATTTCAACTCCATTCAAATCAATCTAAAGCTTATTGCGAAATGAGTAGAATGTACTAAAAGAATGCATTGAGAAGAATTTGTCTAAGAATTTTATACACTATTCAAAATATCTATTAGGAGCTTTTATTTTATTTCTAAAGAAAAATGATAGATTTCTACAAATATACATACATTATAAAGGACTTAATAAGATCTCCATCAAGAATAGATATCTTTTACCTACAATTTTAAGATTTTTGATTAATTTAATTAAGTAAAGATCTATATAAAAATATATCTACAAAAAGCATATAATCTAGTCTGTATAAAAATGGAAATAAATAGATATCACAGACATATACATGTAAGCCAATAATTACATGTATAAATAGGTAGTAGTAAATAAAAGTAGGTAATTCTATAATATTTGCTATAGAAGCTTCCTAAAAGCTTCATAGACACTACTTTGACTTTATAGATGTCTTTAATTGACTTTTTGGATTAGAAACATGGTCAACAAGTTGGCCATGTGCCACACATGTTGTTAGCTTGAAGACCAAGCTAACTATGTGGCCTACACATAGAAAAACTTGTCTTGTAAGTGAAGGCATGTATCCTGTAAAGTCAATACATGTTGGAAGTCCTATAGAACATCATCATGTGGCCTCTAGTTAAATAATATATATAGAAATAAGAGTGAAGCCTTCTTCACTCTTGTCAATTTCTTTCTTGCTTCTAGTCTAATTTCAAGGGTCTCTAGTTGTCTTATCTTTTGGCAATAGCCATTCTAGTTTCTTTTTTAATATACATATTGAGTTATTTCTATTTTGTCATCTTTCTTTGAGAGAAGTTTCACTTGTTTATTTGTCTTTATCAAGTTCTTGTCCTTGACAGATTGACAAGAGTACACTTACAATATCAGAGCTTTGTCTAATCTTGATTATGAATGGATTACTCCTTTCTCTTGATAAGACATAAGTGTATTAGAAGTTTTGGATTACCCTCGTCTAAACTGATATTGTCCTTAGTATTTTCTTTGTTCTCAAGTCCTCTCTTCCATTTGTCTTGAGAGATATTAGACATCATTTTTTCTAAGTGTTATCATGATAGAACTTGGTGAAATGAAGAGTGCAATGGCACAAATGGAAGAGCAATTGAAGGAGTTAATGCTTGCAATGCATCAACTCAATTTACTACCACAAGGAACAACAAGATTGGCAAGAAGTGAAGATATAGAAATGATAGGAGCTACTTCAACATCTGCACCAAATCATGTCCCTTCTTCTATGGTGGAATGCCCTTCCAGTGTTACAGAACCTAGAATTACCCTATCTGAGAAGTTTGATGGCACCAGATCAAAGTTTAGAAGATTTATCAATGAATTACAACTTGTGATTGAACTTCAACACCAAAGCTATCCAATTCTAGGATCGCAAGTTAGATTCATTAATATGTTTTTTTTAAGTTCAGCATTATCATGGTTTTTATCTTTTTTTGAACGACGAGATCCATTATTGGATAATTTGGAGGCTTTTTTGGCAAAGTTTCAATTTATATATACAGAACATGATATAATTCGTATTGCAACCAAGAAGATCCGTATTTTGCGACAAGACACTTATCAGTAACGTTGTACGCTTTACAGTTTTGACAACTAACAACTGATATCAAATGGGATGATGCTGCACTTGTTAGCCAATTTCTCTACAGATTACAATATGAGGTAAAAAAATTAATGCTAAACTTACCTAATCCTCAAACATTGAGTCAAGCAATTGACTTTGTTGTAAAGTGCAACAATTTTCTTTTTGAATTTTGATTTGAGGATAGTACAAATAGACCTTAACATTACTATAATTCAATGACAACACCAATATCTCTTCAACACATACATTCGGAAGTAGAAGATATACAAATTGATGTAATATGTTTAAAACCTCTTATTGAATAAGAAAAGGCTCATCGTCATTAAGAAGGATTGTGCTTATATTGTAGAGAACCTAAGCGCACTATTGAACATTGCCAAAAGAAGCAATGCAACCATAAAATGAGGATAAGAGCTTTCTTGCATGCTGCAAAAGAAGGATCACCTTGTGTCATTTATGCCACAGCTGTTTCTACTGGTGGAAAGTCTTCATGTGGCATTACAAGCCAATATCAAGATATTCAAGATATATTTGAGAAGAAAAATGTAGATACTCTTCCGAAACATTGTTCCTAATACTGCTCA